CACGTATCTTTGCTACTAGACCCGCTACTAGAATGGAACCAGAAGGCGCTGGTTAACACAGATACTTAAGAGGGGGCTTTGAGAATTTAAAAAACATTTCTGGTAGCGCGGCATATATTATGGTAGCGTTTGTGGTAGCAATCTGGTAGCATTTCTGGTCGCAATCTGGTAGCAATTATAGCTACCATCTGGTAGTCATTCTGGTAGACTGGATTGCTACCATAAATTCTACCAGATTCTGGTAACCGTCATGGTAAACACTTAATTCACATAAAAGTTGAGCATAAATAGAGGAATTCCCTTGACTTGCTGTTTTCTACAGCGCGTTCTACACAGCTTTTGTACTACARACGTCCATAAAACAAATTTCCAGTCCCGGGGAACCTCCAAGAAACTATTGCTACCAGAATTGCTACCAGATTTGCTACCATCTTGCGACTAAAATTGCTACCATCTGKTAGCAATTATGGTAGCAATCTGGTAGCAATTCTAGTCAAAATCTGGTAGCTACCATTTTACCATAAATATTTTCTATAATAATTAGATTCTCCTAGCCCCCTCCAAAAGTTTCAGTCGCCAGCAAGTTACCATTCTTATTGCCAGACTATTGCCTGGTAGCGTGCCCGGCGTGGTAAAATAGTCAATGATGATCGTCCCTGTAGCAGTCAGCGACCTAAAAAATCAATTATCTTAGTGCAAGCTTATGAGTTACGTACTTCTAGTTCTTTTTGCTGCAGTTTCAGACCGTACCGTACGTACGTACTGTACTCAGAGTGAGAATTGGTGAAAAATACGAAATACACGAACGTACCGTACGTATTTAGTAGTAGTAGTAGTACTAGTAGTAGTATTCCGTATCCAAGCAAGTGTTGAAATACAATCAAGACAAAAAATATTAGTGGTATTAGAAGACAAAAGGTGACGAAATGTCACCAAGCAATCGTTACAATCGAATCAAAGGAAAACTGAATATACCAAAGAATTTCTCAAATAAACCATGAGTGAGGAACTGAGATCGTGTGAGGCACCTCTTTTGTCGTCACCTGCTTCCCATTCAGCGTATGGCTCAAGTGACAGGCAGGTTCAGAGTCGAAACGAAGAACGTGGTCAACAACATGATGATAGTAATATCGGTCCTCTACGTGGTATTTTTCTAGATCACACCTTCAGTGCTGCTATGATGCATTCCGTTGGTAGCCTTGGACGAGATGAATACGTAGACGATAGAGGAGTCATCCATTTAGTTTCTATTCGAAAACGCCGTCGTAAAACAGTGGCCAGTGGTGCACCTGCTTTATCTAATGAAACAACCACTTCATCTTACGGTAATCTCAAAAATTTATTTCATCGGGAAACACCCAAGCAGCAGGATATTGATGACAAACGAACTTTGATTGCGAAGTGTCAAGGAGACGAAGATGATGAAGAATTGGAGGTACAAGATCAAGTCGAAGGTGGATCCATCACTGCAGCAATCTTTGGAATTGTCAAAGGCACCGTGGGACCCGCAATTTTATATCTCCCAAAGGGGTTCCAGCAGGCTGGCTGGGCTTGCGCACTACCTGCACTCGTACTATCAACCTTTGCCTACGTATACAGCGCACACAGACTTTTGCAGTGTTGGAAGGTCGAGGAAGTCCGGCAACAATTTCTKGCTCAGCGCATGGGAGAAATCCAAAAGATACTCGAACGCCATAATAGCATCGACTACAAAGATCCAAATGATCACAAAATGAGGGGGGAAAGAGCTGGATCAAAACATTCCGTATCACATCTACAAGCGAGCCCTTCGGAAGACGACCGTCGAGCTGAAGCTTTGACCGCATTTAAACCAAAGCTATTGACTTATCCCGAGTTAGCACGACGTGCATTTGGCCCGTTTGCTTTTCTCATTGAATTCGGCATCGCAGCCATGCAGTTTGGTGTTTGTTTAACGTACTTGATTTTCGTCCCAGCCAACCTCTACGCAAGCTGCCAGGCGTTGTTTGGAGTTGCAATACCCAAGTCATACTTTTTGGTCGGAATGCTATGCATTGAGATTCCTTGTACCTTCATTCGAGACATCCGACGGCTGACGCCTTTTAATGTTTTCGCAACAATTTTGATAGTATATGGATTGGGTTCCTGCCTCCTGATTTCCTTTATATATTCTTTTACACAGAAGGAAGAACCGTTGTTCGAATCCGTCATATCTTTGCCCGCTATTCAACCAGCGTGGTTCATTTTCATTGGAACAGCATTTTTCGTTTTTGAAGGAAGTATAACACTGGTAGTTCCGCTCCAAGAAGCAGTCTATAAGAAAGATGATCGCGAACGATTTCCGATGGTCAACCAGAATGTGACGATATCCATTGTTTTGTTTTACATGTTCTTTGCGTTGGTGGTTTGGGCGACCTTTGAGGATCAGGTGCAGACCGCTTTAACGGCATCTCTTCCTCCTGGACATTTTTCGACATCTGTGCAATTTGCATACTCAATTGCCGTTGTATTGACGTATCCATTACAAGCTTTTCCAGCGTTAGAAGTGGTGCTGAGGAAGCATGGGGCAACTGCCAGTACGGGCATATGGAATAGGCGCAACTTCTATGCCGGTCTCTTGAATGTTGGACTGGGAATCATTGCCATCATTGCGATTGACTATCTCGGAAATGTTGTGAGCCTACTCGGTAGTCTTGTTGGCATGCCGATTGCATTGGTGTATCCTCCAATGATGCATAATTTTCTTGTAAAAGATTCTTCTGCTACTGAGAGATGCTTGAATCACCTTGTATCGATTATTGGTCTGATTGCTACAGTGGCAGCATCGTATGCGACAATTTCCAACTGGAATGAAGGTGGAGATTGACGGACGACAGGCTGAAACCAAGTGAGCTTGATCGTTACTATGAATTCAGTATTCACGCGTTTTTTTTTCTCAGCGACAGTATGGAATTGAGGGTATTCAATGGAGGCCTTTACAGATCGTATCATCTTCGTTCCTTTCGCGAACGTAGAAGAGAAGAAATAAGTTGAAAAGGAGCTTCTTATGATTTCCCAATTTGACGTTGGATGTTAAAGGAGTTTCTCATGATTTCCCAATTTGACGTTGGATGTTAAAGGAGTTTCTCATGATTTCCCAATTTGACGTTGGATGTTCACACTAATGATTCTTTGGAATGGTTCACCACAAGAGTAATTCAAAAGTCCAGCAAACTCCACTTTTTCTTTAGTTCCTTCACTTGGCTATGCAACGATTGGATTCGGTACATCATTCATTGAAAGAATCAGCAATATTTTGGCGGTGTGTTAACTGCAAGTTTTGATATCATTGACTTGCATACCTTTAGATGAAGAACCGCAAATGAAAGAAACGACAAAAATCATCCCGGCAGCAAATGCGCAGTCTTCCTCGATGAACATTACACAGAGCAACTACTATGGATTTTGTCATCTCCAAGTGCGACCCACATCGACCAATCACTTCCAAGAAATACGGACGAGCTGTTTTAATTTATTTTTAAAAAAGATGTTGATCATACATCGTGAAGATTGTGACATAACTAATTCAACTTGACTACGATATCATTGAGTAGCGTATTTATTATCYTATACAGGAAGACCTCCTCTGCGAGGTCCAAGAACATTGCTTGCTAACTTACTTTCTCCAAGTCCAAGAATGTTTTGACATTTGAGGTCAGCGAAGGCAGTTTCGAGACGCTTGACGGTGTTGACCTCAGCGGCACGCATACATTCGCGAGGCTGAACGAAAAAGAATCAAAACGAATAACGCGATAAAATGCATTTGGTGAAGTTTTTGTGAGCATGAAGACAGGACGATAGCGCAATTTCAGAATCAACACAATTCACTCAACGAACAAAAGACAGTAGATTATTGTGATGGCTAATGCAGCTGTGGAACTTACATCGTAGTATTTCTTGTTTGGCTTATCTTCTCCGTCGGGGTTTCCAATTTGTCCCTGCAAATAATCGTGATATTTAGCTTCGAAGTTCTTGATTCCCTCCCAGTAACTCCATTGAGTGTCGGTGTCGATGTTCATCTTGATAACACCGTATCCAATTGCTTCTTGGATGTCGGAAACATCACTACCACTACCTCCATGGAAGACGAAGGAAACAGGCATTTTGTTCTCTGGTGCGTCGTCGCCCAACTTATCGGAAATGTATTCTTGCGCTTTATTGAGGATTTTAGGGTCGAGTTTGACATTTCCAGGGCTGTAAACTCCGTGAACATTTCCGAAGGCGGCGGCGACAGTGAACATATCAGACACCTTCTTTAGCTCTTCATATGTCTGGTAGATTTCCTCTGGCTTAGAGTACAAATCTTCTACTGGTCTGTCACTGTTGTCAACACCGTCTTCTTCACCACCGGTGATACCTAGTTCCATTTCGAGCAAGAGGCCGATCTTCTCCATGCGTGACAAGTATTCAGCACAAATTTCAAGATTTTCTTCAAGAGGCTCCTCGGACAAGTCAATCATGTGGGAGGAGAAAAGAGGCTCTCCGTGCGTTTTGAAGTAGCGTTCTGAAGCAGAGACCAAACCATCAACCCAAGGGAGGAGCTGTTTCGAACAGTGATCGGTGTGGAGAATGACGGGAACACCGTATTGCTCTGCCATAGTTCTAGTGTGGAAGGCACCACTCACGGCTCCAGCAATAGCCGCTCTGTAATCGGTATTATCGAGCCCTTTTCCTCCATAAAATTGGGAACCACCAGACGAAAATTGAATGATGATAGGGGCGTCATTGGCACGAGCAGCTTCGAGGCAGGCGTTGATACCCGAACTGGACACGCAGTTGACGGCAGGAATTGCGTATCCTGCGTTACAATTTATCAATTCATGTTACATTTCATCAAAAATGAAAGGTGAGATAATGACGAAATTAAAACGATGAAATTTCGTTCGACAATTTTTCTCTTCAACACTTTCGATGTATTTGAATCGACTCTTGTCAACCCAATCAGCTCCTTACCATTCTCTTTGGCGTGATCCAACAAATCCATCATAGCTTGTCCGCTYAAGACACCAGGATGGACACTCTCCGGAAGGTTGGGGTATTTCTCGATCGCGCATTCATCTTCGCAAGGAATACCGATGTCGTCGCTCATGCCTCCCTTGGCAGTGATCGAGGAAACTCTGCTGCTAGTCGTAGGAGCGAAAGCTTCCGCTGTAGATGCCGCACAGGCAAGGAAAAGAGCAAGGGAGAACTTCATCGTTACTGTTACTCTAAATAATTACGAAAAGTTTCGGTTTATACTTTGTAGTGTAATTGCAACAATCCTGGTGGCAACTGAAGATCGAATGGTGGCTTCAGAGATACGCTTTTCTTGGATGCAGATGGCGTTCGTCAGCGTTTTTTGGAAGCACAATTCTCACCATTTTTTGACACATCACACAGAAATACCGTCGACCTCAGACGACACCTCTTTGTGTAATTGAGAAAACGCGCAGAGAAACCTAAACGTACCGGTACTACACGTAGACGAGTTCGTTGCATTTGTGACGGAAATCGCGCGGTAGTGTTTGGTTGAAGTAACATCCTACCGTACGTTCGCGCATTATGTAAAAAATGAAAGCAAGAAATTCGATTACGTTTCAAACTTTCTACGGACCCCCTTCCCGTTCCTCAAATCTACCGATACGGAATCGGCTTGAAAACTTCCGTAAGATCCCATTCTTCTTTCGGAGCACGCGCTTTACTCGTGCCTCCTATTAATGCTAGCTAACTTCATACCGTAGGGAGCGATATCATTCACGAAGTAGTACTGTACTTTACCATACGAACCTACTAGTAGAACATATGTACAAACAGGGCTCGTAGGACGCGACGCGACCGAACGTCGAACGTGCCGTTGATAGAACGTACGGTACATACTGTACTACATACGTACCGGTTCTATTCTCGTATGTAATATTGTAATCCTCTCATGATCGAAATTTGAGTTCAGGTTTTTTATCTTTTTTCTAATAGCTCTGTTGTTTTGTTTCTACCGTGCAATTTTTTTCATCTCCAAGAATACTATTTCATGACGTAGATAATAGAGTCTTAAATGTTCGTTGCGCCCTTTGCCTTACGCCGACTGCCAAAGCGTTTTGTGTCGCTAAGGTGAGAAATCCGACTCCCGAATTGAATGGCACGTTTAACTAACCCGCAAGCGTGTTCTAACCCTAGTCGTTCCGCAACGAGTCTAAGAATCCTTTTATCGCCAACCCCCGGCGGTAAGTTGAAGTYGCACACCAAACCATCCTTGCTCGCCATCCCTTCCTGCAAGAATCGTACGACATGCGCATCCAAAAACGGAAACCGTGCCTCTCTTCCGTGGTCTGAGCACAGTCGATCGTCCCTTCCGCAATTCCGCTCCCAGAGCCTATTCTGATCCATAGTCAATTCTTTCTGCAGTTCGTTCCAACCTCCTCTCTCGTAGGCCTTCCGATGGCGCCCATAGCCACCCATCAGTTCGTCCGCACCCATTCCCAAAAGCAAGACTCGAGGGGATCTATCATCGCCATTATGATTCGTGCTGTTGCCACTGAAATCTTCTTCACCGTTTGCGTTTGTTACATTTTCTGTTGCTGTACCTCGACTTGCAAACCACAGAGCAGTTGCAATGTTCTAGACCAAAAGACCGGCGAAGAAGTTATCATAATATAAGAAATCAACAGCATTCCAAGACGAGAATAAATGCAAATTCGTAAGTTCCTGGCTGAAAGAGAAATTGTTGGTGAACGTGCAAGTCGCTGAGTGCAATTTTCGGGACTTACTATATCCATTACAGTGTGTTTGGGTGACAAAAGAGTCCGTATGTGAGACTCTGTTCGACATATATCTTCCCACTCGACAACAATATCTCGAAAGACAATCTTAATATCATGGCTTTCGTCATCGAATTCATCTCTATGGTTGATGTCATTCAGACTTTTGCAGTCGGTATCATGTATCTTAGCTTGGTTGTCATGTTCACTACTGATAGTTTGATATTTCTCTCGAAGTGTCCCGTAGCTCTTCAAAGCCGCTTTGCGATCATTACTCTTCTCTGGATTCGGGCCAAAAGAGACGTTGTATAGATAGAGAATTGGCACCGTCAACTTCTTCGTTGGCAAGAGATTCGCTGATTCAGAATCCGATTGAGATCTAAGCTCCAATTTCGCAGCCAGTTTTTCCTCTCGGAATTGCGACGAAAGRACGTCGGCCGCAAGCGCTGCGAGGACCACTGAATCAACACCACCCGAAAACAGAACACCCGTGGATCGTCGGGGAGATGTCAGATCCACTCTCATGGTCACCGCCCTCCGCAAATAAAATTCGAGCTCCAATGAAGCTGTCCAGAGTCGATCGGATATCATTGTTAGCGGCGACTGTATTTGGGATCTAATGACGTTCTGGTTAGGTTTAGGRGGAATAGGAAAATCTTTCGGAAGTCGAGGTAGCGAAAAACTTGCTTTTGGGTAAAAAACTTCTGCAATTTGATCATTAGATTCTGAAAATAAAATAGAATGAACAGCGCCTGGGGGCACCTCGATCCATTCTTGGGCAAATGTGGGTGTAACTTTCGCAGGCGGTACACCTGACGTACTTGCGGTGGTTGGGGTTGTTGAAAATGATCCWGATGATGAAAGCGAAAATGTGAGATTCTCTGCTACTGAAACAAGCTGAAAGGATCCGCAGTTTCTTGGACACCTCCACAGCAATAAGGATCGTCTTCCCCAAAAATCTCTACCGTAGTAGATGCCATTTTGGGTCAAAACGCAAAAGGCAAACTCGGCATTGTACAACCGCGCCATGGCATTTGCTATATGATGTTGCAGTGGAGAAGCAGAACTAGACGAACTGCAGCTGCATCTCTCCGGATCGCTATCGCTGGCGTTATCGACACAATTKTTTTCAATTGAAATAGATGGTGATTCAAGATGTTCCTTGATGATGGTTGTATCAGCAACGTCATACATGAAGGCTTCATCTGTTTCGACCACATCCGTTGATTGATCTGACGATAATGCAGTGGAAGAGGGTGACAGCTGCTGATAAATTTCACCATTCCAACACAAGTATGCTTTTTTTTCGTCTTCGTTCTGCTGGTGATGTTCATCGGAATGCTCGGTCTGGTCCGTGGTGTTTTCTTTGAAGTTTATCCATCCAGGCAAGAAGGGAACCGGCTGTTCCAGAAGCTCGGCACGCATTTTCAGTACTGATGCAGCGCATTCAATACGATGATAATTGGGATGTGTGATGGATATCTTTCCCTGCGCGTCTGGGCCCCGTCGAATCAGGTTTTGATCGCAAGACGCCGGTGAGACGCCGTCTATTTCGGCATTGTTCTCGAATTGGTGATGCCCAAAAAGACTCTGGCACAACTCGCAGGACTCATCTCTCCATGCCCGAAGATGGATCCCGCACATCTCGAGTATATTGCACTCTTTCCCTTTGCATTTAATCTGATCGCGATCGATGCCGAGTACAGAATTGGTGCCTGTTCGATAGCAGGGGGTTTTCTGGTTTCTTCCCGGTATGACACTGATGGCTTGGGATGGTTGATAATTTGCCGAGGTGATCATAGAAAGTATGAGAGTACGTACATTACGTACTTGTCGTACTTACAGTATTATTAATATATGCTCGTACATATTCTCGTTTAACTTTCACACAAGAATCTCGTTTAACTTTCACAGAAGAACCGTACGTTACCTACCGTACTGGGGAACAATTCAGATTGCAGTACTTCTTGTTTTTCTTGTCGTCTGTACGACATCGTACCGTAAGATTTTACGTACTGTACAAAGTTCTTTCGTTCTTTCGACGTTCGTTCTGTTCTCTTCAATTCTCTTAAATTCACCCAGTCAACGAATTACGAATTTCATGGCAATTTGCTGACAWCAATCCAAGAATAGAAAGTGACGATGATGATAAATTCCGATCGAAGCGCACTGATGATGATGTAGCCAAAGAGATGAATAACAATAACGCAAACCCGCAGCAGAGATCTCGAGTGAACGCACTAAAATCAATACGTACTGACGGCCACAGTTAATACGGACGCTTGAGCGAAAGAAGGAACTGTTCAGGAACCACACCAGTTTTGCTGAGCAGAATGTCAATCGACTTCAATGGAGACAGCAAAGATAATAAAACACAGTCCGCAATCGGAGAACATTCTATCCATGTGGAGGAAGTAGGAGGAGTAGGGTGTCACTTGGTCGAGCCGCTCATTCCAAGAGTGAGCAATCCTTCCTCTAGCAGGACCGAGTCGAATGTTTCCGCTAGATCATGTAACAATGAAAACTGCAATTTGGTGGCTATTGAACAAGAAGAACATGCTTATTATGAGCTGCTGCTTGAAGATGGTAATTCTCTGGATCCAGCTTTTTTCGATGGTCGCAATGATTATTATTCTTTGGATCCGCATCGATTCTTCATATTGGCCATCTTTTGTCTCAATAATCTTTTGGGTAGCGCCGTCTGGATTACCTTCGCACCGATTGAAGATGCAGTGGAGGCCAAATTCCGACAGTTCGATCATTTCTTTCATGAAAACGATGCGACTATATCGAACCAAGACGTCAATTGGTTGTCTATGGTGTCAATGGCTGTTTATGCCCCAGGGACTGCTCTCTGTGCATGGGCTATTCCGAAATATGGCTTTCGCGAAACAGCGATYTCGTCTTCGTTCGTGATGGCCATCGGTTGTTTCTTCCGATGGATGAGTTTGAGTTTGATTACTCTAAACGAGGATGCTTCAAACGCGGATTGGTTGTCAGCCATGCCACGCTATTTCATTCTCCTTTTGGGCCAAGCACTGGTGTCACTCGGACAAACCGTATTTTTGAATGCACCYGCACGAGTGGCGGCTTCTTGGTTTCAACAGACGACCAAACCTATTGGAGCCATCAATTTGTTTTCTAATTTTGGTATAATCTTRGGACAGTCTCTCTCGCCCCTTTGTGTCGTGGAGGAGACGGGAGAACACCTCGACCAGTTGTTAGCTGGGCAAGCGATAGCCATGGGCATTTGCGCTTTGTTTACTGGATTTTGCTTTCGAGATGAGGAACCACTCTTGCCGCCCTCGGCTGCCGAAGCAGCTAAGCGGAGAGAACGAGAGCAGCAGTTACMAAGAGCGAGTTCTTCTTCTAGTGAATCACAAGAGGCAACATCTCCCGATACCAGCGTTTCAAAGGATGTGAAGAKATTACTGACGAATCCACAATACATCGTCTTACTGCTGGCCTTGGGGATAGAATATGGATTGAACAGCGCTATAATCACGCTTATGCAGCCATGGGTCGCCTCGTCGGGATTTCCGGGGGACAAAATAGCGGGGCTTTGTGGATCACTCCTGACTACTGGCGGTATCCTCGGAACGTCGATTGCCGCGACACTTTTAGATGCCACCCAAAACTTCAATCAGGCCATCAGATGGTCCTTTTTAGTGATGTTTCTTGCAGGCATTGGCCAAGTAGCTGCGTTGCACCCTGAGTGTCCTACTTGGCTGCTAGCAACAACATTTTTCATAACGGGTATGACACAAATGCCGCTGCTTACCATTTGTCTAGATGCAGCTGCTGCTCATACGTACCCCGTTCCCGAAGAATTATCATCAGCCGGACTTCAGCTGGTAGGTTGCTATCTAGGCATGTTCTTGGTGGATCTAATGGTATACTTAATGGAAACACCCTCGGGCAACGATGACGGCGAAAATCATGACCAGAAGCATAGTTTTGCGGCAGAGGTTAATGTTGCTTATTTGACACTGCTCGGACTTTCTTCTATCCTTGCCTGCTGTTACAAGAGTGAGGATCCACGATCAAATGCTGGCAACAGTGGTGAAATAATACATAGCGATAGTACTCGTGCGCCCTCATCGATAGAAGTTCTTGACAATATTGATGACAATGAAGGGATGATTCACGAAAATCTCGCAGTCAATTGAAGTACTTTAGTTGAAGAGCGCTAAACTAAGCAGAAGACATTTTCATTATGTGCGGGAATTAGACTCATTAAAGTTTTTTTGGGTTGAAACATGATTTTTGCCGAAAGTAGACTGCACAAACATAAGAAGCTGTTACCAAAATTTTAGCTTTGGGATGATGAGTGGTACTTCTTTGATATACTTGCCATATTCCGGATTTTTGCCATACCTTGTATTAGCAAGTTCTACGGAATTCAATATATTGCCGGTAGCTTGGCCCTTGAACAAAGCCCATAAGAAACCGGGCCCAAGACAAGCTAATAACAACTTGCGAAGGCTCCACAACCACATCATCACCAGACTTGCACCGGTCTCGTTTTCAGTCTTAGCWATCGTCGACATCGGCTCGATTAGTGCTGGAAAATTCATCAACAATATCCCTGTCCATAAAAGCAAGTTTCCAAACCAATTGGGATGCTGACTGTATTTCCATAATCCAACGTTGCAAAATTGGTTGATTCCAGTGGAGGGTTGACGTTTGAATATATACTTTTGGGCGTCCGAAACACTTTCAATAGTTAAACCCAACAAAAATAATGCACCTCCAGAAAATAGTGCCAAACGATTGTCGCGGTCGGAATTGAGTCCCAGCAAGAAGGGCAAGCTTACAAGGACGTTCCATAAAAAAGTGGWGAACCAAAATTGAAATACACCTTTTGGACTAGCAAGTACGTCCATTAATCGAATGTCATGCTTAACTTGTGTTGCCCGAAAGAACAGAAATAGCGCAAGTTTCATTCCCCAAAGAAAAATAGCCGCTGAAGACCACCGAATGTGAGCCACACTACTTCCCAAATAAGGAAGGGCGGCAACAGCGAAAACTCCGGTTCCRATTAGATCGAGATGCACGTGACTTCCTGTAAAAATACTGATGAGGAATCCCACAACGAAATCTGCGAATGCGTAGATCCCGATAGATCSAAATAAAGGATTCTCCGCTAGTGGCAACATGAAACCACCACGCAAGCTCGTATTTGATACAGATGAGCATCGTTGGGATTTGGTGCCCACCAATGAATCAATTTGAGATTTACGAATGATGTCTACATTTTCCGCCTGTTTTGGTYGAATTCTAGAGTGTTTCACAAATGGAGAGAAACCGTGGATAGCTGTGGTAAAACGATATGAAATGAAGAGAATACAGATGATAATACATGATTTCGTTGGTCTCCGTTGAACTAATTGGAAYCTACGATGAGGTAGACCTGTCATGATACGAGGGTGGTCTGTATACAGAACTTTTTGTCCTACTTGTGTGCTGTCTTCTGAAATGATAGGAGTGTGTGTTTCGCCTGCGAAGATTTCATGCCCCTTCCATACGGTCAATAGCGCTGAGGGTAC